GTGTTGATAAGACCAATGCGAGGTCGAAACTGCATTCCACTGGTGTCTGAATGAGAACAACTTTTGAGAAAGCAAGGCTATGTAAAATTCAATGGAAACGTCAGCTCAACTCATATCATTGTGGGAAAATTCTACTATCTTACACGAAATAGGGTGAATACATCTCATTACACTGATTTACTGGTAGTCTCGAAACCCTACTTTCATACGTAACGAAATTGGGTGAATACATCTCATAGTACTGATTTACTGGTAGTTTCGAAACAATACTTAAATACGAAGACGAAATAGGGTGAATACATTTTATATTACTTAAATAATACCATCAATAAATAACGTCTAAAAAGTTTTTTTAAGAATCCAAAGCAGGATTGTTGAACAGACCTACGCCATTTCTTGTCCTGGCTGAACTCTTTCAAAATCCGACCACACATCAGAGCATAATACATTACACTCGTCAAGAGTGTGCTCTTTATGGCGAATTTACTGTGGCGTCATCACACTTGCAGTTTTCCTTGCCTCTCCACAGCCGCCCGCCCTCTCGAGTTGCTGCTTCGACTGGATCTGGATCAGCCTCATGGGCTCGTAGATCTGTTTCTTATCTTTCTGGTTGACCGATTTCACTCGTTTCCAGCCCCATTGTACCTTTTGCTCCAGGCGCCATTTCTCAAACCTTTCTAAGCACGTACAATGTTGCCTCGCCGAGCAAAGCACCTAGGCTGTGATTCCCATGTTTGCAGCTATTGTTCTTTGCCTTCGCAGGTAATCTCCTCGATTAAACCCGTGAACACTGAGCAAATTTTGCATGTCTATCTCAGTTCGCCTGCTACATATCAAATGAATTGCTAGTCAATTTGGCTATAATATCGAATTTATGTGACAGTTGTGATTATCCGTCTCCCTAGCCACATGAGCGCCAGGCCCCAAAGTTGTTTCTTTTAGCATACTACACTCAGCGAGAACATCTTTGCTTGATTTCCTAAAATCCCCGACACTCTCCTTCCTTGCTAGCCGTTTCCCTTGGTTAACGATAGATCCCTGATCCAGGCGTATCCTATTTCCTTGTTTTGTCGTATCCTTATTTCCTCCCTGTTTGCTCAGGCAATAGGGAAAGTTATCGCTAACTCTGCCTTCTTCCAATTTCATGCTCATTAAATTTCTTTCCATACAGATGCCAATGAACTCCCTAATCTTCAGTTTCCTTGTGCTTCCACCTTTTGATGCCCTTCTTTCTGATGCCTTCCAATTGATCTCGTGTCCAGTCTGCGCTATTTGTCCCGCTAATTCTGACATTTCGGTATTCATTTTCCTGCAGACTCTGTGTTATTGCTTGATTCGATGCTGATTTTTCTCCCTGTCTCGCGAATATATCTCTTTTCGCATGCGCCGCATGTTTTTCAGTAAACTCACGAGCAATCCTATTTGTCCACCTTCTTATGTTGCGGGGGTAGACTTGTAAAGTTGTTTTTTTTTCCTGTGTTGTCACATGAATATTCTATTTTCTTAGTATTGGCCGTAGTTTTTAAGTTAATTCACAAGAAGCTAGGGATATCCACTTTTGTGAGTCTTTCTCCGTCCCTACTTTTATTTCATAACCCTCGTCCTGCCATCGACTTTCAACGACCCGTATTTTTCTTTCCATTACTTCGCTTGGATAACCGTTCCCAAAGAATATCATAGTCTATTTGTTTAATACTTCATCCTATACTTCCATGCTCGTTAATCGTAGACTTCTGGTTATCATGCTTCTCATTATCCCTAACTTCAGTCTGTAGTTGTGATGAGACTTCTGTGCCCTTGGGCCACAGGGAAGATGTTAATTTCGAAGTAGGCCAGGCATTTCCCCATGCACATTCTTGCCATTCTATCGATGAACCAAATTTGGATTTCCTATAACCATCGACTACATTGGTTTTTTTTCATAATTACGTTTTTATAGGCTACCGGTAGATCTAATATAAGATTTCTATTCACCCTATTTCGTTTAAGGCGATAAAGGGCAATTGAATTTATACTTCCGCAGCTGTACTTGTTCTTGCTTGAATGGCGGCTTGCCCATAATGACATGTTGCCGTTCGCTTATGTACTAGATTTTCTCGACTCCAGTCCGTCGACATGGCCTGTTTTGTATCCCTCTCCTTATGGAGCTATAAATAAAGACCCAGTCTACTAGTCCGAAGCCTTCCTAGGGTCTACTAATTTTACATTACCTCCACAAACCTACGATCTCCTCGGACCCTTACTCGCAGGCCTAGTTTGATACCTCTTTGGTCACACTCGACGGGAGACATGAATGCTATTATCTTTCAAAGTCAATTAACCTTATTCATTCCGAAGGTCCCACCATGAACAGGGTATCTGACGATAGCCAGATTCATCGTTTGCCCATTAGCCATGCCTAAAATGGCAAGAAAAGATTCACATCTAAAATCAATTGCACATCTTTAATTAGCATCGTTATATGAAACATTTTGTCTACCCTTTCTGCCAATCTTGTGCCATTCCAACCACTTTCTGCCTACATCAAAGTCTTCCTTTCTTTTGTTTAATAGGAAGAATATGAAGAGGAAAAACTCCATGGCAAGGTCGACCATCTCGACGAACCTCGATTTAGCACAGATACAGATGATCGCTATGGTCGTCGGCTTCAACCGGGTAACGAGACTTTTCTCTTGATGATACCTGTGACTTTAATGACATGCTTGATCAAACCGGATATTTGAGATGACTCACCTTACGTCTCTATGACACGGTTACCACATGGCAAACTACTTGTTTACCTTAATTCTAAGAACTTTTCTCATCCGCAACAAACCTCTGTTTCGAGCTACTCATCTTTGAGTCAGCATCTTCGTTGCGTCGGATAAGAATCCGCAATTTCCACAATGTCGTTGGTATGGCAAGGAATATATTTATAACCCTGGCATTACCGCTTAAATGAAAAAATTGATTTCACCTGGTACGAGTTTACTTGGCGATATAAGCAGACTTTCTTGAATCTAAATTCAGTTTCGCCTTAGTCGGGGATTGTAACGAAAATGAAGTTCTATAAGGAATGTTGGAGTGTAGTTGATTTCATTGAGATGTCTCGAAACTCTAATTGTATACGAAAATGTAGTTCACTTAGGTTGAATAGGCGAGTGGAAGCGATAGGTAATTTGGTATCATCGTAAGTTGAAGGGGAATTGCCTCGGAGCTGTGATTGTAGATTTGTGCGAATTAGTCCTGACCGTCACGCGACAGACATCGTCAGAGCAGGATGCCATGCTTTATGACAATTTGCCAAACACAAAGTCAAGAAAGGTGGCCGGCTGCAATCCTAGCTACTTCGTATAGCCAAAATTTTTCCAATTAATCATATATCCCGCGATTTGGTTGGATATCCATGCTATTACTACATGCATGTTGAAAAGTCAAGCGGATGCGGATGACATGTGAAATGGTTGCAGAGGAAGCGTGAAACGGAGGCATTTGTGACTGAACATCTGCATCCTCCCTGAAATTACTTATATTTTATATCCTGCAATATTGTCGCTTGTGGTTGCGTTAAATTGCATTTGTGTTGCTTGTATGAGATGCCAATCCTATCCAACAACCATACGTGGTTTCCACTTAATTTCCTATACTCATTCTTTCTATTAAAGTAATTGGCTCTTTTACTGATTTCTATAGATTATCTGATTTTTCGTCTATTGGAAAAGTCTCCATATCAAACGAAAAATTTGGCTTTAGATCAGTTTATCTGGTGTTCTGTGTGAGCTTTGTTTGGCGAGTTATGATTTTTTGACCCATAGCCCTGTTCAGATAGCCTCTTATGTGTGAGTCGACAGGTCTCTCTCATACAGCACAGGGTTTTGTCGAAAAATCGGAACTGATCGAGCACACCCCACACAGGACGCTAGATAGTTAGGCGATGCCCGTCATATGGTGGACAAAAGTTCAGCATGAATTCATCTGGGTCGTATGGCTGTGCGTATGCACAAATCTACAATCACAACTCCAAGGCAATCCTCCCACAGCCTCAGGTGGAACCAACTTACGAATCCCTTCTATTCCCTCTTCAAACGAAATGAAAAGTACTCCAAAATCCATCAGACTATTTTTATTTTTAAAATCGGTCTTGACAATTGTATAAGAGCTGTATTCACCTTATTGCGCTTAGGATGATGAAGTACTGGTAGTTGAATCATTCAACAACAATACGAATGGGTCTTACGTTTCAACTGAATTGCACATACAGATTAGCCAGTATCCCGACCATAAGTACACGAGAGGATGCAAAGTAAACTCTCTCATATGCATAAAACCAGGTTTTCGAAGAACTCCTTAATAGATTGATGCTGGAGCATCTTTCACTTCGTTTGAAGAGGCGAGTGAAAGGAATTAGTCAGTTGGCCTCACCGGAAGCTGGAGGGGTATTGCGTTTGAGTTGTGATTATATATCGGAATCGCATGGCAGTGCGCCGAGGATCTATTCGCACAAATCTAAGGTCACAGCTTCAAGGCCATCCTCCTACTGCTTCCGGCGAGACCAACTTCCCAATCCTCTCCACTCGCCTCTTCAAGCGAAATGAAGGGTACTCCAATGTTAGACTCTTCCATCTCGGTTGCTAAGACACAACGGTGCAATAATTAATCCAGAATATCTGGTTTCACCCTATTGCTATAGCCTGTTGTCTAATGAAAGTTTTGTATCTGACTCTGAGTTATGATTCCATTATACCTAGTCACAAAAAGGTTAATTGACATTATTTCGGGCTAAATAGTGACTGTTTCCATAGTATCAAGCCCAGACAAAAAGCATTAGCTACAGTTGTAGACCTAATCAAGTGAGAAGACCTAGGAATAAGCATGATGAGATAGAGGAGTATGAAATATCTACCAAAATAATTGAGTTATACAAGATGGAGATGTCTGTAGTGGGAGTTACTTAGGGTTCTTCGAATGTTAATTGAGATCTACTGAATTTATTATGAGATGAGGACTTAGTCAGCGAACTTCCATGTAAGTTCGGGGTTCCTGGTTGACAGAGCTCTCGTGTTATGATGAAATGTCAGAAAATTGGGGAACTCTTGTTGCTTAGAAAGTTTGGCCTCGAATATATACGAAGCTACATCTTGGTCTTCCTGGTTTGGGGAGTTCAATATGCAAATGCTCTCTCTCTCAACAAGACGCTGCTGTAGCTTATACTTATTGGCTGGAAGGGTTCAGCTAGTCTTGGATACGACGCTGTTGCACGATAGA